AAAGAAAACCAACACATTCCGTACTGTAAGTAGTAAAGGACATTTTTAGAATATATTCTCTGTGATCTTTTTAAAAAATATATGATTAATGAAAAGAATTCTTTTCATGCAAGCAAACCCATACAAAATATTTTTTTTCCTTGCCACTATCCTCACTTTCAATTTGAGCCAGCTATCCCTCTTTTCAGGGCTATTTGGCTGGAAGAGCATATAGGAAAACAAATTGGTAATCATGTTTATCACAGGAAAGGGAAATTAAATTGAGGGTTGGAAAGAAAGAGAAATTAGACTTTTATTTTTATTCTGCATTGTTTAATTATTTTTACAATAAGAGTACATATTTTTCATTCTTTCTTTCATACAGAACATTTCTTTTACCTTCCTGTCTCCTTCTTGCCACTCATCCCCTGTGAACAATACATCACCCTTTGGTTTTGCCAGTTTCCAATAGTTCTTATAAATGGAATAACACACTGTTTACTCTTTTATTTTTGAGATTTATCCACATTGATGCATGTTTCAGATCGCATCTTTTCAACTGCTGAGTTTTTATTGAATGAATGAATATATCACATTCCACTGAATGAATATATCACAAACTTGTAATCCTTCCTCCTTTTCATGGACATTGGAGGTTTTATTTTTTCAAATTTGAGACTCTTAAGTTTTAAGTTGCTATTAAAATTTTTGTACAAATTAGTTTGTTCATTTCTCCATAATAAAAACCTCAGAGTGGAATTGCTATATCATAGGGTCAGTGTGTGTTTAGCGGTAAGAAACTGACCAGCAGTTTTCCAAAGTGGTTATACCATTCTACTCTCTAACCAACAGAGTGCGAGAGCCACAAGTCATCTCCAACATTTGGCTTTGAAATAGTATCTTGTGATTTTATTTACATATTTCAAATAATAAATCATGTTGACCATCATTTTGAGTACTTGCTGGCCATTTGCATGTCTTCTTGTAGCAAGTGTCTACTAAAGCCTTCTGTCCTTTTCACCCAATTATTTATCCTTTTATTGTTGATGACTATGTTCTGGATCCAATTCCTTTGTTGGATATCTGCATTACAACTATTTTCTGCTGGTGTGTAGCTTGCCATTTCATTTTCTTAAGGTATATTTTAGTAGACAGAAAGCTTTCATTTTAATAAAAGTCCAATGTCCTTTTTTCTTCTTTTTTTTAAAGTTTATTTTTTCTTGTAAAGGTGCAGCAGATACTTTTTAAGTTTACTTTTGAGAGATAGTGACAACGTGAGCTGGGGAAGGGCAGAAAGAGAGAGGGAGACACAGAGTCTGAAGCTGACTCAAAGCTTCAAGCTGTCTGCACAGAAGCCATATTTGGGGTTCAAACTCACAAACTGTGAGATCATGACCTGAGCTGAAGTCCCATGCTCAATCTACTGAGCCACCCAAGCTCTTAAATTTATTTATTTATTTTGAGAGTGAGAGACAGAGTGTGTGTGTGTGTGTGTGTGTGTGTGTGTGAGAGAGAGAGAGAGAGAGAGAGAGCGAGCATGCATGCGCACAAGCTTATGCCTGTGGACAAGCAGGGGAGGGGCAGAGAGAGAGAGAGAGGGAGAGAGAGAATCCCAAGCAGGCTGTTAGTAAAGAGCCCCACCTGGCGCTCAAACGCAAGAACCATGAAATCACGACCTGAGCAAAAACCGAGTCCATCGCTCAACCCACCGAGGCACTCAAGCACCCTTTTTTTTCTCTTTTATGTTTAACTGTTTTGTGTGTCATTACTACCTTTTTCCATTTCTAAAGTCAGAAAGACATTTTCCTATGTTTTATTCTAGATATTTTGTAGTTTAAGCCTTTACATTTAGGTTTACGATCCGTACCTAATTAATTTTGTATAAGATTAAGGGTCATATTTTCCTTACATTTGTTTAGTTTTTCCAGGACAATATGCTGAAAAGATTTTCTATTTCCCATTGACTTAATAGGGTATTTGTATTGAAAATCAGTTAACCTTCTATGTGTGAGACTGTTTCTGAACTCTCCACACTTTCTATTTATCCACATATTTATTCTTAAACCAGTGCTAAGACTGTCCAGTTATCATAGCTTTATAGTAAATTTGAAATCAGCTGCTCTGAATCTTACATATTTGTTCTAATTTTTCAATGTTGCTTCAGATTTTCTGAGTTCTTTGTATTTCCACATAAATTTTTGAATTAACTTGTCAATTTTTTTAAATTCTGCTGAGATTTTGACTAATATATACACCAAGTTAGGGGAAATTAGCATCTTCTTACTACTAAATTTGCTAACCCATGAATGTACTTCTTCACTTATTTAGATCTCCTTTAATAGTTCTAAGGAATATTTTATAACTTCTATTTCAAAGGCCTTGAACATCCTTTATTAACTTTATATCTAAGCATTTTATGTTTTCATTGGTATCATAAATGAAGATGTTGTTTTTAAATTTTATTTCCCATTGTTTGATACTAGTCTGTGGAAATGTAATTGTCCTTTATGTCCTGACTTTGATGAATTCACCTTACTAGTTCCTGTAATTGTGTTGGAGAATCTATATAATGTTGTCTGCTAATAAAGAAAGGCTTTTTGTCTTCCTTTCCAACCTGGACATGTTTTTCTTTGTTTTTCTTGCTTTGTACACTGACTAGAACAACCAGTAAATTGTTGAATAAAATGATGAAAGTGAATATACCTGTTTTGTCCTTATCTCAGGGGAAAATATTCACAATGTCACCATTAGGAATGATATTATTTATAGAGTCGGCCTATATTTCCTTTTTCAGGCTGAGGTAGTGTTCTTCCATGAATAGTCTTGATATCATCCTACAAGTCACTGAGAATTTGTTTTTTCAGACTGAATACTTCTATTGATCTATCTTGAAGTTCATTAACCCTTTCTTCTGCCATCTTTAATCTGTTATTAAGTCCATGCAATACACTCAGTATATTTTTAAAGATTTTAGATTTACTTGTCAGTTATAGCATTTTCATTTTGTTTTCTTTTACAGTTTCCATTTCTCCACTAACATTATATATCTGTTCAATCATTATGACCATATTCTTTTTTTTTAGCCCTTGAACACATTTACAAAAGCTGCCCTAAAGTCCCTTTCTGCTAATTCTAACATCTGGTTGTGTTAGGATCAGTTTCCATTGACTGTTTTTTGTCTTGACTATGGGTCTCATTTTTCTTTTTTTTAAAGTCATTTTGGGGCGCTTGGGTGGCTCAGTCAGTTAAGTGTCCGACTTCAGCTCAGGTCATGATCTCTCGATTCGTGGGTTTGAGCCCCGCATCAGGCTCTGTGCTGAAAGCTAGCTCAGAGACTAGAGCCTGTTTCAGATTCTGTGTCTCCCTCCCCTGCTCATGCTGTCTCTCTCTCATAAATAAAGAAAACATTTAAAAAAATTTTAAGTCATTTGTAGCAGCTTTTGAATATAGAAAAGACATCAATAATAAGTTTTCTAGATTCTGTTAACTTACTCTGCCAGGTGTTGATTTTAGCTCTGTTACTCAGTTAACTTGACTGAATTAATATTTAAATTCTCTTTTCTTTTGAGATAGTACTTAAATCTCAGATCAGTTATTTCTAGAGCCATCTAGCTATTGCTATCCCATGGTTTCCTTAGAATCTCCTTCACATCTGATAATTAAAGGGCCATATAAGGATATGAGCAGAGTTTATATGCAGATCTCTCCATAGATTCCTCATTTGTAGACTTTTCCCAGCTAAAAATATCCAGCCACATAGGGAGTCCCCTAACTTATCAAGACAATGAAACTGTGGCTTTCTGTTAGATTCTAGATGCCTGTCACAGTGTGACCTGAGGAGTGCCATCAAACACATAAAAAGAAAAAAAGCAGAAATAAGGATCTCATCCACCCTTTTTTAAAGGATAAAATTCCCTCTCAGAGTGCATGGGTGACTCAATTGGTCAAGCCTCTAGCTCTTGATTTTGGTGCAAGTCATGATCTCACAGTTCATGGGTTCAAGCTCCACATTGGGCTCTGGACTGACAGCGTGGAGTCTGCTTGGAAATCTCTGTCTCCCCGTCTTTCTGCTCCTCCCCTGCCCACTCTGACTCTTTCTCAAATTAAATAAGTAAACTTTTTAAAAATTCCATCTCACTTCTGCATACTTCTGATTACTCTTTAAAGCTTTTAAGTAGGATTTCAAAAATATCTTGTCCTAGATTTATAATAGTTATATATTGGAAAGTTAGTATAAGTTGTTCTGCTATTACTGGACCTAGTACTTATACTTCTTATTGAAAAAAAAGTGCAATGTTAAGCTTTTGATGCTAGTTGTACAATAAGCAATAATCTCTCCTCCTCAGTTTCTTGAAAGACTGATCTTAATCAGGAAAAAGAAATTATAGAAGTGACAGAATTCAATTCCTAGATCATTGCTATTGTGTTAAGCTAAGGAACATGGGAAGAAGGGTTGATTTTAAAGTCTGTTGATGAGGTAAAAGTGGAGCACAGTCAAAATTACCTTTGAAAATCCTTAAATTACTCATTAATTATATATGGTTTTATGTATATAATCCTCTAGACTATTGTATCATTTCCTTTAACTTTGTTTTGGTCAATATTTCTTCACAGCCTTTATTTCCTGAATTTATTTCTGCAAAACATCAAAAGGGGCAATTATCTACCCACCTAAACAATATTTTTGTTTTTCAATGATCAATTATTTAAAAATAGGAATTTTCAAAATTTTTCATTAACATGCTTTGACAGTTTCAGATTCAGTTGCATCTGATGCTTAAGTATATCATCACTAGGTGTGATGGAAGCAAAAAGCCACATTATTTAATTATTTCTTTCTCTCTCTCTCTCTCTCTCTCTCTCACACACACACACACACACACACACACACACACACACACACACAAGCACCTATCCAGACAGAGTTGAAGTCATGCAACTGAAATGTACATGTAATACTATTCCATTGTGTGTAGAAACTCTTACTTGAATTAAGATGGATTCCCTTTTTGTTTCTACAGTGGGGCCCTTTTGGATGTGAAATGTTTGACTTTTAATAAACTGCGAGAGATGTATTTCATCAAGACAAAGAAATTCTTACTGATTGGAGACAGTGAAATATGTGTGAAGCTTAAAGAAAAGAAGATAACTTGCAGGAAAATGAATGTAGTCAAGATAGGTAAGAAGTTGTATATGGGGGTATGTTTGCCATTTGGGCATATATGAAGACACTGATCATGTCTGGACTTTCTGTATGTTAAAAGTAGACAAATCATGAAAGCTCTTTGCAATAGAAAATAACAAATTTCTTAAAGGAAGGAATGTTTTAAAGAAATGGAAGTTTTGAAACATGTGACACTTATTCTTAATATGAAAGAATTCTGAGGGGGTTGCCTGGGTGGCTCAATTGGTTAAACATCCGACTTTGGCTCAAGTCATGATCTCATAGTTTGTAAGTTTGAGCCCCTCATCAGGCTCTGTGCTCACAGCTTGGAGCCTGGATCTTGCTTCCAGTTCTGTGTCTCTTTCTCTCTTTGCTCCTCCTCTGCTCACACTCTGTCTGTCCTTCAAGAATAAACATTTTTTTAAGTTAAAAAATAATTATGAAGGTCTTCAAACTCAGCTATGAAGGATAGAGAATGGCACCTACACATTGCAGGAAGAGTTCTACATGAAGTCACTGGAGCTGGGCCCCTGTCATCCACCAATGTATGTACTTTCCTTCTTCATCTTGCCTTCTCCTGAATTCCTTGTATTCTTCTTCCCATATACCCACCATATTCTGAGTGTGTTTAGTTAATTTATCAAGTTATTTTGATTGAAGAGGTGCATTCTTTTACTGGTTTTAAATACTATGGCTCACTCTCTTTCCCAATTCTCAATCGTTTTTTCACCTAAATATACAAAAAGAAAATTAAAGGTAAAAGAACAATACTCATTAGAGACAACAAAGAGGTGAGAAACTTTGAATCTAGTCTCAGCTTTGCCTCACTAAATCGGTAAAATAAAGGATGAAAACAGAAGTTCCATGTGTGAGTAATTATCCTGTAAAAATGCAGCAATGGTGAAGAAGAGTCATTAGCCAAATGGTTGTGCATATTGAACACACAGCAACATAAGCCACAACCAATGTAACTGCAAGGTAATTCTAAATATAGGACACAAGCAAGCTAGATTTTGGTCATTTGGAGACTAGGCTGTTATGGATGGATACTCAGTTTGTGCACTGCACAAGAGCACCATGTCTAAATGTTTACATTGGAGTTGCAAATATATATTCACTACACTGAGAACAAGTAGGGAAGGCACAGAGATTCTTAGTCCTCTGACAGGGTCATGGCATTTTACAGAGTAAGTATGTGACTACTCAAGACTCCAGATAGTACCCTGATGATCTGAAACCCCAGATCTCACATATCCAATGCTCTCAGAAGCCCATTTTCTATATCTCAGCAGAAGCAAACCAACCACGCCACATCTGACAGGCCAAGGGAGAAGGGTAGTTGTGCTCACTCTGTTAGTCTGGGTTCTTGTGAACTTGGTGTGGTGAGCTCGTTTGGGCTTTGGAAGGCACCCCTGAACAACTAGATGAGAGATAGTGGAGGCATGCCACTCAGTAGCACCTTCTTCAGTTTCCTAAGGTGACATTTTATTAGCAGAACTGTCATTTAATTGAATTTATAATGGAAGCCCCTGATTGAGCCCTAGACCAGAGCTACCCTGCAGCCACCTGCTCTTCACTTCCCCTTCTTTAGGTATGGGCCCTCTGGTAAGGCTAGAGGGTCAGCTTCCTGCCTTCCCATTTGTCTTGGTAGAATGAGTCTGTATAATTGTTCAGTTTGTTTACAGAATAAATTAACTTATAAAAATGTTGCTTGAGGAATGAGCAACTTTTTCTAATCTCAAAGACACTCTCTGGGCCAGAGACAGGACACCTGTACAAGCCAGAGTGAGATAATGGAGTACAGAAACAAAAGTCAAATGAAGAAGAGTGAGCCTCATAATCAGACAGAATTGGATTTAAATCCTATCAAACTGTTTTATAGGAGACTGAACTTAAGTTAATTAACCCCTCTGAGATGGTTTCTTCATCAATATAGTAATGATAAGAGATTATGGGGCGCCTGGGTGGCTTAGTCGGTTAAGCGTCCGACTTTCGCTTAGATCATGATCTCGCGGTTCGTGGACTCGAGACCCGCTTCGGGCTCTGTGCTGACTGCCAGCTCAGAGCCTGGAGCCTGTTTCGGAGTCTGTGACTCCCTCTCTCTCTGACCCTCCCCTGCTCACGCTGTCTCTCTCTCTCTCCTAGAAATAAATGAAACATTAAAAAAAATTTTTTTTAAAAAGAGATTATTGGTGGAAGCCTGCATAATACTTACTAGGTTTATAATCAATATCATTCTGATTTTTCCTTAATTCTTCCATTATTGGGAGTCTTTGGGAGATGGGGATGAAGCAAGGAATTCAGCATCAGAGGTTTCACTGAGAATCTGGATCTTAATTATTCTCTTGAATAAAGGGTAGGAAATGGCTTGGTTGGGGTTCTCTGTTGGTCTGTTTCTCTACACTCACCACACTTTCCTCCTGTTCCCACAGGGCATCTACCCTTTCTATAGTGAACCTAAAAGTAAAGAAGGATAAACTTCCTCTTTTACAAGACATCCAAGGGCAAAGAAGGAGACACTTCCTCTTTTTCAGGATCTCTGGGGCAATGCAGGAGAAACTTAGGTGGTCACCACTATGAGCTAGTGACTACAGTAAGTGAGCCAAACTCCATTATGTCAGTTCACTTTACTGGGTCGACAAATCTGCCCTAAAGCCCAGCTCAGATAGCCTAGAATCCAGCTCAGTCTAGAGAGTAAGAGTTTGATGAACACATACTCTCTCATTAACAATAGGTTTAGATTAGATTTTAGTCCATGTGCTCCCTTTCTCTGACTGAGATCAGCCATGCAAAAAAAAAAAAAAAAAAAAAGGCTGTCCCACCTTTAGAAAACTAAGGCTAAAACTAAGTTCCAGGCTTTGGTGATAGAGTAGCTAAGAACTCAAGACAGGAAAGCCCCTGGTTAATCGTAGGGAGGCTTCTTGACATGCATGCTTTTCAAAGAATTCAGTGCCTTTCTCAGGGTTGGTTCTGCCTGAAATAAAATGTATTTTCGTCCAACAGTACATCATATATGGTGCATGTGATCCTAAGAGTAAGTTTGTGAAACAGGGAGAGAGAAAAAAAAGAGACTAGAGAAGAATTTAGAACTAATACAAAACAGACTAAAGTCATACTAAAAATTATAAGCTTAGAAACAGAATGCAGACCCTCAACTTCTACATAGTTGAGATGAGGTACAAGGCTTCCAACTTGCAACCCGATTTTATTGGAATAATAAAGACTCAAAGTTTAAACACTCCTGCTTTGGAGCTACTTAGTAGCAGGTCCTCTAGTATTCAAAAGGCAACGTGAATGTGTTTTAGTGTAGAATTAGCACTAGCTGCTGTAACAAATAAGCCCAAAAACATGGTATCTGAGACACCATAAGTTTATTTCTTGCTCACATAAGAGCCAAAATGGGTATTTCTAATGTGTGGGTGGTACTCCTTGAAGCAGTATTCAGGCTTCCTTCATCCTGTGGTTCCACTGTCTTCAACATATGACTCCAAATGGTGGAAAGGGAACAAGCACAAGGTCACACATGTAAGCTTTCTGGGCCAGAGTGGGAGGTAGTGCGCATCAATTCCACCCACATAGCTCACAAGGTTACATCCTACTACAGGGGAGGCTGAAAAGTCTAGTCAGGCTTTGAACCAAGAAGAAGAAATGTTTTCTGATCTGTTGCCCAATTACTGACCCAGAAAAAGAATGTGATTTTCAGAATGGATGAACTTTAAAAAGTATAATTATTTTCTTGAACAGCCTATAGATTGACCTCTTTTCTTTTTCCTTTCCAGTTAAACCTGAGGCTCCTTTTGACATAAGAGTCATCTATCGTGTGGGAGCAAATGACTTTCTGGTGACATTTAACACATCTCACTTACAAAAGAAGTATGTGAAAGAATTACTGCATGAGGTGGCCTATCGCGAGGAAAAGCATGAAAATGACTGGATGGTATGTAGATCAACTATATTTATCCATTATAAAATGCATGAAGATGTACATATAAATATACTGAATAAGTAAATCTCCGTAAAATACATAAAATTACAATATACATACCTGAAATTATAAAATAAAAACTTCTTAATGTTATAAAGTTTATTGTCCTAGTGGTACATTTACCTGGGGAGGGGCCCTAGCAACTTTGTGTTCAAAACATACCTTTTACTGAAAGAAGTTAAGTATAAGAGAGATTCAGGTTTCACAAAACCTGGATCTTCTCTGGGCCTTCCTGTTCTAGCTCTCATTGTCGTTAGAATGGTCTGGACATCCCTGCAGTTTGTCTTGAGGAGAAGGTGGGAGAAAAGTAGAATGACCCAGATTTTCAGTTTCCTCTGGGCTCACTGGCTTAATTTCTGTCCTGTTTGTAACACATGGACAAAAGCTAGATGATAGCTTATCTTTCTCAAGGTGAAGAGAATGCCTACTTACCCGTACTATTCTCTTTTCTTCGGCCAGGACCAGCCTTCTTTGCTTGCAATATACTGCTGTATAGTACTTACATAAGTGTAATGTCTTCCCTAAACCAGCTGCTCCCTCCTTCTACCACACAAACGGCCACACAAACCAGGCTACCTTGACCCTGTTCTCTTAAGTCTTCATCTGAAAATTGCACCAATGAAAGAGCAACTATAGTGGAGAAAGGAAGCATTAAAAACAAGCAAAAAAAAAAAAAAAAAAAAAAAAACCTTTTCATTTTAAGTAATCTCTACAACAATGTGGGGCTTAAACTCATGATCCTAAGATCAAGAATTGCACACTCCTTCAACTGAGCCAGCCAGGAGCCCCAAGAAAAGAATTTTGAATAAACAATACCAGGTCAATCAGCTGTTTGGGGCAAAAATTAAGTTAAATGCCTAACTTGGTCCATATAACAAGTAAAATAAAAAGACGATTTAAAGAAATATGTAAAAGTGAAACTCTAAACAGTGTAGGAAAAATATACGTAAATGCTAATGTAATATTGAGAGGAAGAAAAATATTCTAAGCATAAAAGCAGTAAAGAAAGTAAAAGATGAATACATATGAATACATAAAAATAAAGGCTTATAAATGTCAGCACACACGAAAATCAAAATTGTAAGACAAATTAGATATTAGGATTAAATTGTCATACATACAACTGACAGATGGTTAATATCCTTCATATATATGGAGGTCTTATAAATCATTAAGAAAAGGATACATGTAACAACAGAAAAAATTAGCAAGAAGCTTGGAAATGTCTCATAAAATAAAAACTATGTAAATGTAATAAATAAGTGAAAACTAATATCAAATAAGTATAAATGTAAATAACAATGGAATATTAACTTTTTACCCACTAAATTGATAGAAACTTTTTTCTTAAAGATAGTGCACATTGTTGAAGAGACTATTATTCTCTATATTGCGATATGCAACTTCTAGGGAGAAATTATTCCTGCTCACTTACCTTACCATTTCCTTGTATTTTCCTTTGGGATGTGAAAGGGGAGAAAAAGGAAGAAAAAAAAGAGAGAAATTGAAGTGTGGAAAAGAAGGTGAGAGCCTGGGAGTGATTTATATCCTCTTGGTATTGGAAAGCCCAGCTCACCTGAACAAAGACTTATGGTACTGTTGCCCTCCTTGACCACTGGTATCATCATTTCTGAGCTCACACATGCTCCCCCCTATGTCATATCTTCTTTTTCAAAGGCGAGTACCCACATGACTAAAGGCACTCAACTTGAAATGATTTGGGGGATCTGGGCAGCACTTCTTTTTTGATCCTAAAAATATAATGGCATGTTTTGCTCTTTAGCATGTGAACTTATCCAGTACAAAGCTGGCACTCCTACAGAGAAAGCTACAACCTGATGCAATGTATGAGATTAAGGTCCGATCCATCCCTAATCCTGACTATTTTGAAGGCTTCTGGAGTGAATGGAGTCCAAGCTTCCACTTCAGAACTCCAGAGATCACAGGTGGGAAGTGACAGCAGGCTCTTTGTCTCCTGCATACTGTTTGCATGTCAAAGTGTGTGAACAAGAGTGAAAGCCAGAGAGGTGAAAGGAACCCACACATTAGGACTCCCCTGAGGGCATGCTTACACTGTCTTTGGATAATGACCTGCCACCTTTGCTCTTTTTGTGAAGAACAAGGAAGTGGTGGGAATAGAGCCCACAGTCATTGATCAAATGTTATAGGCTGCCCTGGACTCTACCTACCCAGGTGCTCTTGGGAGCTGCTAATAATTCTAGGTAAAGTCCCCACCTACTACCTCTACTTTACCAATTTAGAATGGAATCCCAGTGGCTAATGTCTCAAAAACTCCTCTAGAGAACACCTTTGATAATAGAAGATGGGCAAGTGAGTGCTGCCCATCCATGCCTCCTTTTCCAGAAAAACAAAAGTATCCACATGGTCTAGGAAGCCAGAAAAGCCAAATAACATGGCTCAGGCAGGCTCCTGAGGAACCAAAACACTCCACATATACCATCTCTTTGAAGTATGAGGGGAACTGTTCTGCCATACCAACATCACACTCTCTGGAAATTGCTAAACCTGTGAGGTAGAGCATCCTCCTCCTCATTCCCCTACTGGGCTTATTTCTTTTGGTGGTGGGAGTTGGGGAAAGAGTGCTGCTATCTCTAATGCTAGTTCACTTTTATATTTCAAGTGCAAGTTTTCTAGACCTGGTAACTCACATCAGTGCCACTTACTGAAGCCAAAAATCCATGTGCATAAAGCTAGTACATCATCCTGTTTGCTGAAGGGCAACTTTGAAGAAATAATAAATGGTCTCAAGTTACTAAATAAATTCAAAACATCCTCAAAGCCTCCCCAACTCCATGCTTAATGACTGCTAACCAAGATCTATCCTTGCATTCCAGGGAGGATGGATCCTGTTTTACTAACTATTAGCGTTCTGAGTTTCTTCTCTCTGGCTCTGATGGTCATCTTGGCCTGTGCGTTATGGAAAAAAAGGTGAACTTTAATTAATCAATAGGCTGGTTACATGGGGTCCCAAAAAGTTGGAGCTCTAACCCTATTTATTGATGAGGAAACTACAAAAGGGAATAAGGCATTTCAGGAATTATAGTGCCCAACATCCCTCCCCACGCTAAGGCACTGGTGAACTTCCACAGTTAATTTTATAAGATGAAAGTATGTAAATTAGACATAGGGCAAACCCTGCCCCCCAACTTCTTCTCCTAAAAGAGTGGGAGCCAAGCCTCCAAAATATCTGGGCAGCTGGGGGTACCCATGGAAAATGCAGAATGTATTTCAAGTCTTGAATTTCAGCACAAAAATTCATGGGACTTTTGCATTCTACCTCATGACAGAGCCATGTCTGTTTCATTATAAAAATGATGTTTTTGACATGTACCATCAATTTATTAATGTTATAGGAAGATGCCCTCAGCACAGTGCCACACATTCTCATGATACTCCAATTTGTCTTTTTTTGTTCTTTTTTATGTTTATTTACTTTTGAGAGAGAGAGAGAGAGAAAGATTGTGTGTGTCAAAGAAAGAGCAAGTGGGGGAAGGGTAGACAGAGAGGGGGACAGAGGATCTGAAGCAGGTTCTGTGCTGACAGCACAGAGCCTTACAGAGGGTTCCAACTCACAAACCGTGAGATCATGACCTAACTGAAGTTGGATGTTCAACTGTCTGAGCCACTGAGGTGCCCCATGATACTCCAATTTCCCTGGGTGACTTGGGAAATATTCCTCACTTCCACCAAAATCAGGGCAGAGGAGTCGCTGTAAGAGGAGTAAGATGACAACACCTATTTTAGGAGTGGATGAGTAGGGCGAATGTTGGTTTCATAGCTACACCCTTGCCAAACCTCACTGTTCCACTTCTCCAGGGTTCTCTCCCAAAGGTGTTCACAGAGATCACTGACAACTCCTCTGTGAATTAATAGGACATTGAGGCCCAGGGAAAGCAAGTTACTTATCCAAGTTCACCCACCTAGTTGTGGCAGAGCCAAGACTAGAAATCTGCTCTTCTGATTTCTGCCTCAGAATGAGGGGAAAGACTTATTGTGCATGCATGCTCCCTCACTGTTCATTTCATCTTTCTCAATGTTCTCTTATTTCAGAATTAAGCCTATTGTGTGGCCCAGTCTCCCTGATCATAAGAAGACTCTGGAACAACTATGCAAGAAACCAAAAAAAGTAAGTGCTTCTGGTGCTTCTATCACAATGTTGGAGGCATCTCAGTAGCCAAAAATGATATTGCAGGATAGGGAACAGTTGAACCACAAATTTGGTCTTTTGTGCATCCCATAACTGTAAGATATTAGCTACAGCTCCGGGGAGATAGGAAGCTAAAACGAAATACAAGTCTCAGAGGTCTCCTGGGCTTTCCTGAGACTGGAAGGCATGGCCAGTCCCTTCAGACTCTGATATGTCAGAGTGCATCCAGAGGCAGAGTCAACTTGAACATGTGGGTAATTCTCTGACAATTCTCTGGTAAACCCCTGTCCGAAAGTTCCTTACAACTTTCCTTGACCTGAACTTTTGCTGGTGTGTCTCCTTGGAGCACTCTCAACGCCTTCTCTCTCTCTCTCTCTTTTTTTTTTTTTTTTTGGTGTAGAATTTGAATGTGAGTTTCAATCCTGAAAGTTTCCTGGACTGCCAGATTCATAAGGTGGATGGCATTCAAGCTAGAGATGAAGCTGAAGGCTTTCTGCAAGATACTTCTCTTTCACAACCAGAGGAATTTGAAAAGCAGAGGCTTGGAGGGAGTGTGCAGGGCCCCACCTGGCCATCTGAGCATGCAGTCACCACCCCAAAAACGATCAGAGGAGATTTGCCCCTCAGATGCCTCGCTGGGAATGTCAGTATGTGTGAGGCCCTTGTGCTACCGTCTTCCAGGTCCCCAGACTTCAAGGATGGTGGCAAGAATGGGCCTCATGTGTACCAGGGCCTGCTGCTTGTCCCTGGAACTACAAATGGCCCTGGACCCACTCCACTTCCTTTTCAATCAGGAATCCTGACATTGAACCCAGCTGCCCAGCGACAGCCCATTCTCACTTCCTTGGGATCCGGTCGGGAAGAAGCCTATGTCACCATGTCCAGTTTCTACCAAAACCAGTGAATTGTCAGAAACCCAGGACTGGTACCATGATGACTGACAAAGATGACTAAGCTCTACGTACTCTCCCTCACAGCACAAAGAAGACAGAAATAATGAAATCTCCTCTGTATCATCTAGGGGATTCAGAAGCATGACCTGGACCACTCCTCCCCACTCCAGGGGCATTTGGTTTGAGGCAGGAGCACTCTGCTTCAGGCAACCCAAATTATTCTATTATTTCAGAAAAAAAATGGCAGGAAAGAATGAAACAAAGGGTGAAGGTGGAGGAGAGAAGGGAAGGGGTAGGAAGGCAGGGAGAAGACAAGGAAAAAAGGGAAAGGAGAACAGGGATGAGAGCTACCATTATTAGGATACTATATATCCAGTGGGCTCTACATAGCTTGTCTCCCCACATCCTCATAGTAATCCTGGGCATTGGTACAATTATTATTATTATTATTCTCTTTTTTTAAAAGATGATGGAACAGAGGCTTGGAAGTATGAAGTAATTTGTCCATTTTGCCCCCACTCAGCATGGAGTTTGATGGCTGGGAGTCTAATTATGGTTCTGCCTAAGTCATGTGCCTTCCCCTTGACTAGGGACTATCCTATTCTCGAGTGCCAAACCCCACTAATAACAAATAGGGTGACTATATCATTTATTGTCCAAACTTGGTCATTTTTGAAAGTGAAAGGGGAAGTTATAAATACTCATTCCAGGACAACAAGCATATACCAGGAGTGTCCCAGACTAATGAGGACATGGCCACGAAACTAAAAATGCTCTGAGAAAGAAAGGGTCACGTGATGTGTGAACTACCATGGCCAGCCATGTCTACAAAACCTGAAGAAGGCAAGAAAAAACCACAAATCCCATTTGATTTTGTTTTTCTGAAAAAGTAGAAGCCCAGAATTTCTGGTAGTAGTTATCAAGAGTGTGATTGTCTTGCTAATGCCACCTGCCTGGGTCTGTCTAAAATAAAAGAACCTGTTGCCAACGCCAGACACAGGTGCATTTGAGCAATGAGCCAGGAATAACCCTTCTATGTGTGTAGAGACTCCCCCAACCCAAATGCAGCCACAAATGGTCCCGAATTTTATTCCTGTGGATGTTGCCCCAAGCTTCAGGGAGAAGAGTTATAAGCACATGCAGTGAGTGAGCCGACTGGGGCTGTGTTCTTGAAGGTAAAGAAGTGTTGACATCCGTTCTCTTGCACGTCTTGGTCTAGATGAACTTCTAGTGATGAGCTCAAACAGAGTCAAGGCAGCTGAGGAATCTAAACTCAGGGGAGTGCAGTCGACACCCATCCCACAGGCCCCCAGACCCTGGGTAGACGCAGAACCACACAGGGCAGCAGAGGCACAGGAAGTAATGAAAAGCATAAGTTCAGGGTTTTGTTTTGTCCAATGGGTTGTTGTTGTTGTTTTTGTTTACATTCTGCAACTTTTTGTTCTGTTTTTAGTTTGTTGGAAGGCTAAGTATTTTTAAGTTTTCAATTTTCTTGTTTTGTTTTATGCTATCTGTGAAGGGGGTTTTAAATATTGGACTAACATCATATCTGTTGGCTTTGAGGCCTAATGATAATAAGATCATTTATCGCTCTGTTGGGCATTGTACTTTCCAAATCCTTTTCTCTGAATCAGTAGTGATGAATATAATCTTGTATTCCCTTAGATTTGTTAGTGCTTTACTGATTTTCAAAGCATTTCCATAAGCATTACCCCTTTCATTTCCTTGGCAAGCATTTGTGGGAAGCCTGCTATGTGCCAGCCACAGGGCGAGGCACAGGAGATTGCAGATGAATAAAGTTGAGGACCCTGCCCTTATAAAGTGGAAAATCTGATGAAAGTGACAACTTTGTGAACAAATGATCATAATAACAAAAAGTGCTGTAATAGAGCCATGCTCAGAGTGCCCAATTGAAGTCAGGGAAAATTCCCCAAAAAAGTGACATACATCTGAGCAGAACCTGCCTGGTGTGTCAGCAGCAGAAGACATTTTCCACCCTGTGGGCACATGTTCTTTACCTTTTGCAGAAATGGGATCCCGGTCTCAAAGAGGAGGTCCTCACAGGAAATCCCATGCCAACCTGGGTGTCCTATACCTTATTCACAGAGGTCCTATGAGGTGTGTTGTTGTTATCTTTAACTTCAGGAGAAACTGGGACACAGAAACCTTACATGTTAATCCAGGACTGGAAGCCATACGTTTGCTTCCCTGATATAATAGACAGTCTTTCGACGAAATGAGGAGATAAGTCTAGACAAAGGTCAAAGCCACCCCTGCTCTAAAATCCCATGTTTCAGTACTGTTGGGCACAGATTATCATTTGAATTTAGAGTGTGAATGCCTGTCTGTTACGAGAGGGGTTTAAAATCCATGTATTATACTCTTATAATCGTAACTGCTGCTAATGCTTGATTTTATACTCAAGGACAAGGTATAATGTCAGATTGTAAGTTCTTTCCAACCAACCTCCTTTTGCATTTCATTAGGAAAGACTAATTGGTCAGACACAATGCATGGGTCGGAGGTGTAAACTGCTAGCTGTGCAGAGCATGAAATGAGAACCGGTAAATAGGCAGCTGATTTGGACAATTAAACAATTGTGGCTGGATCTTGGGAGCCCCTGGCTTATTCTACTGATTTTCCACCAGTCTTTGCCTCTTCTGTCATTCTGGTTTCCATGGAAATTTCCTTCAGAAAAGACAAGTAGCTATTTCATATGCATGTACTTGTGTTTTCATAGCACTTCTGGAGAGGCTACAAGATGGAACTGGCCAGGAAGGTGGTGAGAATATGTGGTCAAGACATCTGGAATGGTGCAAATCAGATGGCATTTGTGTCAGCTCGGTGGTTTTTCTCTGTGTTTTATCTAAAAACTACCTATAATTCACTACAGTGAAGGTCTCTGATTTGACTATGTACCTACCATATGCATTATAAACATTTGCAGAGCTGCTAAGTATACAATTATCCAATGTGTGTTACCATCTCATATTTAATTAAATGCTACGGAACCCTCTGTGCGCTTGTCTTCTGTGAAGAATAGGGATAGAATGAGCCACAGTCTTCCTCAGCCACTGAAAACATTCTGGTGTCATTTGCTGTCATTTTATATTTGGATTTTCAGAGGAACATCAATCATCAATTAAGTAATTAATTCAAAAGTTAATGAATCAACAGCAATTTGTTGAAGATCTGCCTTGCCTTACTTTGTCCTGTGCTAGGCACTGGAGTTACAGGGACGAAATACACTGCTCCCAGCTCACAATCACAGGGGAACAGAGACACACAGGGACAGTTCCAATGTCATATCACTGCTTTCAGGCAAAGTATCATCAGGATTCTCAGTGTACGAATGGAAACAAATTTGGGAATTTAATAAAGGCTTCTAGAGTACTCCCAGAATATCTGAGAGGGTCAAAGAATGAAGCATGGAGTTCACAGAGCCTCCCCTTATCTCTACCACTGGCACATCCAGAAACTGAAAAGAGCCTCCGCCACCATCACCACCAACCCCAGAGCAGAGCGGGCAGCAGCATCCAGCGGCTTCACATACTGGCCACCAGTTTAAAGGTAGAGCTGGAGCCTGTGGCTGTTGTAACTATGCCAAGCTCATATGCCTGGGCCCTAACAATGGGAAGTAGAGAAGAGAATAGATGGCATTTGCATCTTCTACAGTAAGAGGTTATGCCTCATAAATTGGGTCAGTCCCCAAAAATAGGAAGGGTCTTCTGCCTCTTGCTGAGGCAAAAAAACAAACCAGGAGAGGTAACATGAAGGAAATCAAACTTGATGTGGCAAGACAGAGTAAGTAGTAATGTGCCAGATAAAGGGGTCCAGAGGACATTCCTTGGCAGAGGAAACCGTGCACTCAAAGCCATGGATCTGTGACAGAACATGGGGCATTTGGGGAGTTAGAACTACAATAGGTGATATCTCCTTGTTTGCCTCAGTCAGGAACAGTTGGGCATTGCTGGTTATTCCCAAATCAGACACAGGGCACTTGTATAAAAAATAATACATATCTACTGGGAATATTTTATTTTAATTAAAATCATTTGACTCTGTGTCCATTCACCACCGTTTTGTAACAAAGCCAAAGCTTCTCCATTGGGTTGTGGGTTGCTGACCATAGTTTTACTTTATCTTTCTTTGATAACACACACTGCAACACACCAACTACTCTGTCTAGTTTTGCTTTCTTTAAAATGGATAAGGACTGGGGCGCCTGGGTGGCTCAGTCAGCTAAGTGTTTGACTTCAGCTCAGGTGATAATCTTGTCGTCTGTGGGTTCTAGCCAGGCATCGGGTTCTGTGCTGGTAGCTTAGAGCCTGGAGCCGGCTTCAGATTCTGTGTCTCCCTCTCTCTCTGCCCTTCCCCTGCTCGTGCTCTGTCGCTCTTTGTCTCAAAAAAGTTTTTAATAATAAAATAAAATAAAATAAAATGGATAGGACATCAAACACCTACAAAAAAAATCTAAGTGTAGATTCCTAACTTTTTTTTTTAATTTTTTACTGTTTTATTTATTTCTGAGAGAGAAAGAGAGGCAGCATGAGCAGGAAAGGGTCAGAGAAGAGAGGGAGACAAAGAATCCAAAGCAGGCTTCAGGCTCTGAGCAAGCTGCCAGCACAGAGCCCGACGCAGGGCTCGAACCCACAAACCATGAGATCATGACCTGGGCCAAAGTCAGACGCTTAACCAAATGAGCCACTCAGGCACCCCTGTAGATGCCTAACTTTAAAGGTATACCCCAGCTTAATCTTGCACCCATCATGTTATCAAGTGTATGGGTAGCAATATCTTTTTTAATTTTTAATTTTTTTAATTTTAAAAAAGTTTTTTAATTCATTTATTTTTTGAAGAAGAGAGAGAATCCTAAGGAGGCTTCAGCACAGATCCCAATGCAGGGCTAGAACACATGAACCATAAGATGATAATCTGAGAAGAAATCAAGAATTGGATGCTTAACCAACTGAGCCACCCAGGTGCCCCTAGCAATATTATTTCAACATGCCTTTGTCAAGTATTTTCAAACCAATGAAGATATTTCTTATAGATCGAGATCAGGCTTTTTTTTGTATACTCACACTTTATCACCTTCATAATATGATTACATTAACAGGTCCAACTGGCCTGAATAAGTTGGGAACACACAGGACTGACTTGGGTGAGTTTGTGTCTCACTTGGTGGGTACAGACAGCACTAGAGGCTAGCCTGCTGGCAGCCAAGTCTCAACATGGGTGTCAATGTATCTCAGAGAGAATGAAGAGTGT